CGCAAGACAGTCTGAACTGCTGTAAATGGCAAATAATTAAATGTACCCATTCTGAACAAATGCAAGTAACTGCTACATGTGACCAGACTCAAAGACAAGTTCATACAGCTGTTATAACTTAAAAGTACTAAATATTTGATTTAATGAAAGCCTCCATTGCATATACTAGTCAGTTAGCAGATTAAATTTCTAGCAATATTCCTCAGGAAAAAATGTTAGATGTTGCAAAATTAAAACAGAAATATATTAGAGTAAAAAGCTTCCTGTATGGATTTGTGTTATAGTGAAGAAATGCACATGGCCAACAGTTTCTTCATTAGCAGAAATACAATCATTAAGTGGATAAAAGTGGCAGAGAGTGAGCAACTGCCTCTGGCAACTCTCTTCATTCAACATAAGCAAAATCAAGAAACCTCCAATTACCTTTTAAACAGCAGAGGGGAAGTACACAAAATCTTGAACTGACTGGGCTGGGCACATCACTACTTCATGATAGGTAAGAAAGCAGCTTAAGACTACAGTGATGGACCTCCAAAAGAACAACCCCTCTTCTCCCATGGAGACAAGGAGTTTTGTAGGAACATCCTGGAGAAGAACCTAGTACAAACAGCAGGAAAAGCTGCCGCTGTGAAGACTAATCACGATTTCCCAAATACAATTCTGAGAAGGTAGTTTTTTAGAGGACACAAACACAGAGACAGCYAAGACTCTAGGTAACTTTTGCTTAAGTGAAAAGTCAGTACTTTGTCCATCTCATCTTTGCCACTCACTTGTCAAGCACCTCTCACCAAAACACAGCTGAGGGTAAACATGGTTTACCCACTCTAAATTTGAGCACTGCCACAGTTACAGGCATTCACCACCACCCAGCCAGGGTCACTAGACAGGTACATCTCAGGCTTAGCCAGAAATAATTCTGCATGTGTCACAGTAAGAACAGAGAAGCTCAGCACAACACCAGGGGGTGCCAATTGATTCTCCAGCCTTCAGTTTCTACCCACCATTAGGCCCACAACTAGGAAGGACACTAACAAACTGAAAAGGCAAAAAACCAAAACTACGGATTAGAATGGATGAAGGAAACGCTGCTTACCCTGAAGAAAGAAGATGAGAAAATAGACAAAGTACAGAGATGAGTCCTGGAGAAGGTGACCTGAATTACAGCAGTTCATGGGGCGGTACCCTGGGAGGGTCACCCTCCAAGTACATAATTAGTGCCAGGCCTGAGAAAAAAAATCACTGTTACTAAGTTAATGTAGCCAAGGGGAGAGGGGGAACTTGGGAATTGGGTGGACAGGGCACAGGGAGTACATTTTCTTTCGCAATATAGAAGGAGCAATGATGGTAGAAGCAGACTTTCCTCACCCACAGCCAAGTCCTGGCGAAAATCAAGAGAAGCCACTGTAGATATCAACTCAGAAGATCACTGCTGCTTTGGTAGTGTGGTAAGGCCTGAACAGTGCAGACAGCTTTCAAGGAAAATATTTTTCTTTAAAAGGTGAAGAACAAAAGCTTTTCCCCCTCCCTCCATTCCTTCCCTTTTCCCCCTCCACCCAAATAAAGTGTAAACATTCAACCCCAACACACTAAGTTCTGGCTACCCTTTGTGTGGCTGAATGTGCCAAATTTTTGCTAATCTACATAGAAGAATATAATTCCCATTATGTCTGTAAAATTGTAGAAACAAAATACAGAATTAAAATAGATGAAAGATGAACAATAAAGGGATTAAGGTTGAAATTGTTAAGATTTACTCTAAAAAAAAATTTATTCTAAAACTACATTTACAACAATGCATCTGTAAAATTAGTTCWTCACTCTTTAAGCCATGTTATACTGAAGCGCTTGAGTTAGGCTCGGCTGTCACATCAAAGTACACCTGGAAAGAAGCAGCAGATGCAGGAGTGGGGAGAAAGAAGTATGAAGTCTGGAGAGTTCGTAAACTATCTCCACTGAAGAGGAAAGAAAGACAAGTTAGGTGAACGGGAATGAGGGAAACATTAAAATACATCAACTGTGAAGAAAAGACTGAGAACAGACTTTGCTTGAAAACAAGAACACTAACAGCTGCCCTTACCACACCACACTTAATGAAGATTTTCATAATCGCCTCAGTAGTCCAAACTAGCATATCCCCACATCATATATATACACACAAACACATTTGAACAAAAGATGACAATATCCCAATGCCTTTAAGCAGAAGTTATAGAAATATTTTGTTTAAGAATACAAATTTAAGGTCAACAAATTCTTGAAAAGACATATTCAATGTCTAATGAATGTCTAASGGACACAGAAGTCCCAGAGGAGAACTAGTTATACACAGGTCATTACAGTTTTATGTAACTGTCTTAAAAAAAAAGATAATGCCAGAAATCACACAGATTGTGCCTTGCTGTTCTTGAAAACCTGGCAACCTGGTACTCCTAATAAAAGTAACTTTAAAAACTATGCTTAAGTCATCAAACCCCTTTCACCACAAGCAGACAAGCACTATTTTTGTGACCAACTCTACAAAGGCCACATTCCTTTTCTACTTCCTTTCTTTTCCCTGAATGAACATGAATGCCCCAAACTAATGCACAGCCACACAGTTTCTCAACCTAAGTTAAACTGTTGAAATGGGAACMTACCATGAAACTAAAAAATTAAAATCAAACAAGAAAACACATACAATCGATAGAAAACAAAATACAGTTTCAACCTACGACTTACACTGTGAGATGAGAAAATAAATGATGACAATCAGCTCAAGCAACAAAGAGTATTACTAACATGACAGTYTGATTAATTAAAATTACAGAAAAACTTCTTAAATATTGGACCAGTGTATGCATCCTATCTTCAACAAAAAGCAAAAGCATTCTGAACTAAAGAAGGTAGATGCTTAAGCCTACATGTTTTAAATAAATAAATCAATATTTTCAGTATTTCCCTTCAATCAGGAAATATGCTTATAGACATGTTCATCATGCATTCTGAACAGATCCCATATCATTGCTTRCTCCACAGAGAACAATCCAATTCTCCCTGCAGAAAGCAGAAATATGGGACAAGTATGTGTGAACACTTGAGCAATGAGCTCTGTAATTAAGCTTGCCTCTTCATGAAAGATCATCAAAGCGTGCCACGGGGAAAAAAAAGGCCTCAGGGGCATAGTTTTTCATCTGTGATCTTTCTTCAGTAGAATCCCTCCCTCTCGAAACTGGGAAGAAACTCTTCCCTACTGTAAAGAAAAAGCAGTACCAAAGCCAAAATGTATTGTACTAGAAAGAAAATCAGCATCTAGCTAGAGCTAGCTCACCATCTAAGACTTGTGAATCTGCAAGACAGATAATGATCACATGCAAGGAGGTGACTGATATTCAAACTGTGCTTCACTTTGCCCTGGGCCTTTCAGGAAACTGCCAAAATATTGAAAGTGTACAATGCAGCAACTTAAGCACATCTCYGAACTCTGAGAACTACTGGTGGTTTTGACTGGTGTCTTTCTGCCATATGCCATGTGTCTGCAACTAGCCCTACCACATGCCTTGGCTAGGCAGTCATGATCACGCTGGCTCGGTGTGAGCATCTTTCTTTACTCTGCAACTCCACTTCCTTCACCGCAGCTCTCTAAAGCAAAACCTGCCTACTCCTCTGTACAACAGCCTCTATTTTTAATTAATGTGCTTTAAATTGTCAAAATTCATACATATTAATCCTAGAGGTTTATTCAGCTGCTGTGCCACACATTGCTACTACTATACATATTCAGAACAAGAGTGTAGGAAAAAACAAAACCCACTTTTTTCCAAGAAATGGCTGATAACGGAAGCCAGTCTCCTCTCACTTTCTGGGCCTCAATTATGACCAATTAGGAAGAACCAGTTTTCCTAAAAGGTGCAGCTGTTTTGTCAACATAATCCCTTAGCTGCAAACAACGTTAGTAACTCATGCTACCAGTTTACATGTGGTTTAAGAATGCAAAGGTCTATAGCAACATTCCTAAGTCCTGTGTTTCAAATACCAAGAGTGACACGTTTTGAAATTTAATTCTCAATTYGTAAAGAGTACTATAAAATATAGACAACAAGAGAAACCCCAGGGAACAGAAAATGGACACCCTTGCTGCAGAGAGGCAACAAGGAGACTGCCTGCATCATGGAAAGTATTGCATAGCCTTTGCAGCCAATAAATAGGAATAACCTAAGGGTACATGAACTTCAACCACTCAAACATCTCAACGTCAAAAAATGCATAGCATTTCATTTTATTAACCTGTAAACAGAAGAAATGTTACAATCAAGGTGTGTTACAAGTCAAAACAGAACATGAATATGGTACATCATGTCTTTCATCCTGAAGTATTCAGCATGTTATTCCTTGACTACATTTTTGCATACCAAATATATGCAATTGTGATAGAAAGCCAGTCCTTTCCCCCTCTGCAGCCACAGACTTGGCTTAGTACCTTTCCAGCCACATTCTATCCTCGCAGGTTTTACACAGGCTCTAAGCCTTGTCACACATCCTCACCACTTCTGCAAGGTTAACTGAAGAGATTACCTTTTTTAGCAAATAATCAGCTGGGGAAKGAAGCGTTTATTTAAACATGCACACACAGGCAAATTATACACTATCCTTCATGTAAGATACTATTTTTCTAYTTTAAAAAAGAACAAGAGATTGTGTGGTTGAAGAAAGGTAAAACTTCAAGAAGCAATCATTTTTTCTAAATTAAAATATTAATACTGATTTTTTCTTCAGTGATGTTTTTACTTCTTAAGAACACAAGTTGCAGTAGGGAGGAAAAAGCCTAAAATCATACAACTTCACTCACATACCTGCTAGACTTTAGAAACTCTCCTATTATGTGGTACATTACTATAATGACATTAGTAGGATGATTATTCAAGAGAAAAGAATTGTTTTTGCTGTTCTAAATTGCTGTTCTAAAAATTCAGTATGAAAAAATGAACACAGTTGGCAGCTGATGTAAAAATTTAAATACTTACTGCGTAGGAGCCTATGAGGAATGCAGCGTTTGCTTGCTTTTTCTGATCAAAGCCAGTATAATGAATTATTTTCTTCCTTATCAATGATAATGACTGTATCAAGAAATGAACAAGATTATGATTTTGCATTTTAGACATTTTACACCCTCTTTTATAAAATCAGAGGAATGCAAGAGTTTGTTTACCTACTTTTAGGAAGCTGTATTCAGAGAACCAAATATACTGTGGACTAGCTCTTCAGAAGCTCTGGAAAACTTMTTTTTTTACTGCCAATCTACTACCTAGATTTTTCCAGTATTTTTCCCAGTATCCAGCAAATAATTTTTGATACATATTACTGAATCTTTTTCTTCTTAAATGCATTAGTATTTTTAGCTAGGATTTTTGACTTCAGGCGTTATGCAACAGATAGCTATTTATGAAAATAGAAAGTGGCATTCTCAAAAGCATCACAGGTGTATCAAAGGTGCAAAAATTTTAAAAACAGAATTTACACTTTTTCATTCATTTTTCAAACCCAAGTCTAGATAAATCCACTAGTATTTGTTTCTAAGAATCAGAACGATGCTTAGATCAAAATATTTTGAAAGTATTTCTAAGCTTTATAATAAATGATTTTTTAAGTATCAGCTTGGCATACAGTTTATCCATTTATCTTAGAATGTACGAACCTGGGTGGAATGACATTTTCAATAGAAAGGATAACCACATGTGTGGCGGCAGTTATGCCCTAACTGGCCCTTGAAATAAATTCTGATGTACTTGAAACTGCACATTTTGATCAACAGCTAAACTATCATAAAATGTCATTTTATGCATTTAAATAGCAATGTTACTTGCTCAGGATACCAGATTCAATGCATTAAAGACAGATAAACCCCACATCGGTAGCAGAAATACGTTCTCAGAAATCCTAATGCATCTGTCCAATATAAAAACCAAGACATGGAAAGGCACTATAACACAGACTTGTGTTGCTTTGGAGCATCTGRTATGCAAAAATCAGAGAATCTCATCTCTGGCAAGCCACAGTTACCCAGGTGAGAGTTTACCACCTCCCAGCCTGGACACTAAACAGGTTTATCTCAGGCTTAGGCAGAGACTATTCTGCAAGGGTCCCAGTAAGAATACAGCAGCAACATCACACCCATGGGTGCCAATTGCTTCTCCAACCTAAAGAATAATGCAAAACTGAATTATGCAAACTATTATCTGAGACAGACAAAAAGGAATAAAAAAAAAAAAACGAATACACTCTTAGTCTATAATATCCTGCTTTTCACAGTTCACGGGCAGTTGAGAGATCTGAGTAGTTTTGAAGAGGCAAACTGTGATTGACATTAATGAAAGTAAGCTTTTTTATCTGCCAAACAGGTTTTATACTCCAACAGATCAACTAACTTGTAGTCAGTCATGTTAATTAATTTAAGTAATCCATTTTAAAGGCACTAKGCTCTATCACAAGCCCAATCCCAAAAATTACTGAGCTACTGTAACAGAAAATGATCTGCAGTATAGACAGAGCAGCCTCCTTCAGGCCAATGCTATCAGTGCTACTAAAGATTAAACATGGTTCAATCCTGAAAAACATCAGCATCAGAAGAGAAGACCAAGTCAAACAAAAAAACATTTCAAATAAAAACATGGCAGTGCACCCTCGAGCTCACTCAATATTGGCAGATTGCCAATAAAATTGAATTCCTGGAAACAAGCTTTTMATGTAAAAGAATCTATATTCATTTAGCAACTGATCTTCTCAAATCTTAACAATAGTTACTGCCAGTCGTGCATCTTCTGGTTCTTAAAAGAAAGTGGATTTTCCCTCCTGATCCTCCTCCTCCCTACATTCACCTCAATAAAATCCATCATTCATATTCAGAACTCAGCTGATTTAGGAAAACAGAAAAGCACCTGRACAATAACAGCAACAATAAAGGAAATTTCAGCCCATTTGTGTTTGTATTTTAAAAAAATACTTATATCGGCTTTTGAATAAAAACCCCAAGCATTACCTTTAATTTCTTATTTAGCTTGCAGCAATATCTGTAGACCATTGCCAGATTGAGTGGTCCAAAGTCTGAATAGAAGCTGTTAGAAGAAAGGGGAAAAATTGWACATGACCTCTGCAAATGCCTTTTTTTTTAACAAGATGCAAAACGTAAGGAGTAATAATATACATGTTATATATGCACATAATATTAGAAACAAACACACCTTCTTACATACACACTGTTTCGTTGAAGGAAAAGTTTTGTCATATTTAAACATGGACTACATTTTTATTTGTTTTCCACACAGCACCATTCAAAACCAATACCCCAGGTTTTAAGAACTATTTCTAACTACTGYATCACTCAGCGACAACAGTTTTCAAACTCTATTTTAAGAGAAGCTCATAAGCTTTACTTTAAAAGGAGACAATTCACAGTGCTAGAGAAAAGGGAACACAGAGAACAAAGATTGATTAGTGAGTTAAAAAGCAGCATGCATGCCCTTGATGAAAATCATTTGAAGAATTAGCAACATTCCACATCATGCAAAAGGCAAGCAGTGCTCACTACAGGGGAAATAATATATCCATTGTCAGCTCATAAAAGCTTGAATTGACTGCACTATTTTTTTCTCTGATTCTAGGAAGTTCAGACATTCCACTTAATACATGAGCAACCAAAGACACCCCCTTTAGTCTGGCAGTTAAATGTGCATTTCTAAATCTAAATGGCTGCATCATCTTCTTGTCTCTTCTAACAGGAACGGGTGCAATTAAAGCTTTTGCTTTGAAAATATTTTTAAGAAATCCTGATGGGAAAGCAGGAAACCATTTTAAGGCCAATAAATCATCAAGGCATATAAATCTGAGAAGATCAAACTTGTAATTAATTCTCCAATGAGACTGATTCCTCATTGCTGTTGTTCTGACTAATTTATTTCTGCAAAAAACAGAGAAAACTAAGTTGGTACTTACTTCTCATACACAAGTTCATCATCTATGCAGAAATAATGGGTATTTTCAGCTCCATTCTTTGGTTTTTGGCAGAGAATTGCAAAATAAAGGCGATCTGAAATGCAAGAAAATTGGAAGCTTTTATAAACATCATGCTTTTCTATCGGAAGTCTGAAGTATTACCTGTCAACGGGACAACTTTAAATGGTTTAGAATGAAGAAAATCTTATTTTAAGTATTAGATTAGGTATTATTATTTCCCCAGTGTTAAACAAACAAGGCACACAAAGATTGAGGCTTTTTGCTCAGCAGCGTTCCCATAATCCGCAGCTCTTTAGTGGKTTTTTTTCAAGTGTTCCTTGTGTGATGACTTGGTAAAACACCAGGAGCCTGACTTGCACCCACRCATACAGCAGAAACCTCCTTTGGTAGTTGCACTCCAATCCAAATACCACTGCACACACCCTATCTTCCTGAAGTAAACCACAAATCCCTCTGCACCTCTGAGCACCTTACATGAAACTAAATGACGAAGCACACTCACACCAAAACTGGGCACTTCTTTCTGTAAAGTCATGATTTTGACAGTAGTGCCATGCAATTAAAGCTTGCAGGTGACAGACASGGGAAGAATGCAAAACGACAACCCATGCTGGCCAAGGGAGTACCAGCCACACCACCATCTGGACATCTCCATCCAAATTCCTGTCCCCATCCCAGCTACCCCTTCAAAGCCTGGGTGACTGCGGGCAGGAGGCATCTTGTACTTGCCCTGGCTTCCTTTAAGCTGTGGAGAAAAAATACCAGCGGTGTTCACATAGATATAAATTACTTTTATGGCCAGGGAAGCTGAAACCCCAGTGAACTTTAAACACTGACTGTGCTCCTGCTATAAATTGCTGTGCTTGCRGTAATTGGTCAATAAAAACTGAGGCTTGAAGCACCACTGCAATACTTGTCTTCCTCCTGCTGGGAAAATATCATCATAAAATATTTGGATTAAAATTCAGACCTAAAAGGAAAGCTTCTTTTTCTGAAAATTAGTTCCCTAGAACAGAGATATCATTTAAGTATCAAAAACAGATCACCTGCATGAATTATTTCAAAATATGATTGGTGATGAAGAAAAACCATGTGTTGATTTTTAGACGCAGGGGGAAAAAGTAATCACTTTAAGCTTCAAAACAACATAATCCATGACCACCACTTAGAAATCATTACTTGTATCTTGAAAATACATGCCAAAGTATGCCATGAAACAAGTAACCATATCTATATTTCAACAGTTGCATGCTCAGTGCTCACCTACCTACACCCGAATCTCAAAGGATGATGACTACCAAAAAGTGTACCTTTTGCAAATGCATATTTCAGCAGAACAGCAGCCTGGTGTGAATGGTTTGGCTTAAACATTTACAGGTCAGGTGCAACCAGTGGGATTTACAGTAACACCTAAGCAAGTCAAAGACCTATGTCCTTATCTTTAGCAGAAGCAAGGCACTCAGCTTGCTCATTTAATTTCTAATAATCCCATTTTGTAAGCTGCAGTACTAAATTGAAAGTGCATTATATGCTTCTGCACCTTCCAGCATTGACCAAATCATCCCCTGAAAACAAGCCAAAGGATAAAATTTAGAGTAGTGTGTGCGTTTTTAAGAAATTGGCCACAAAAAAAAAAAAAAAAAAAAAAAAAAAAAAAACCTGGACCACAAAGTGAATTATGTGTGGAGAAGCAAATGTACTGATACTCCAGCTGGGTACAACATAAGGAATGGTGAAAACCGCTTCACCGAAAGGCAGTCCTAGGGGTGGACTATGGAGTGGAGGGAGCCCCAGCTTCCCACAACTCCCCTGCATCTCTCCCCACCACTGCGTTAATCACTGAGCTGTGTCAAGGTGGATTTGCATGAATTAGACACTGTAACAGGTATCCCATGGCAATGTTAAAGAAAGAATAAAAAAAAAAAAAAAAGAAAAAAAAAAAAAAAAAAAAAAAAAGAAAAAAAAAAAAAAAAAAAAAAAAAAAAAAAAAAAAAAAAAAAAA